TAAAATAATCCCTATACTTTAGACTGCAAACAGCCCTAGGATATAGGAAATGATGAGCATTCATGAGCCAAGTTGAGGGAGTATGTCACAGTCATGAGACTAGACTCTGACAGCAGAGATCTGGAGTAAAGGAAAAACATTCCAGGCCAGTTTTCCCCTTTCTCCCTGATCACAGCTTCTGGCTTGTGACCTTTCTTACTCTGTCTCTCATTTGCTTTCAGTATTTAAAAACCAGCCTAAAAATAACTTCCAGAATCAATTTTTTGTAGGTATCCCCCATGAACAGCCTCAGAGATAAGCCTCTGAGACTCATCTCAATTTCTAATACTTAGCCACGTAATCTGGGGCTCTCCTCCAGAGGAGAGAGGCTCTAAAAGGAGGTTTGGGAAAGACATTAACTTATGATTACAAGAAGGGGCTGAGGATCAATGTTCCTAAATCTTTACTTATAATCTGAAGCTCATCTTTTAGCAGCCATGATTCTGTTTACCTCTGTCCTAAACCATTCTCAAGACCTTAGACCACAGAAGGTAAAAACAATGTGCACATATAGTTTCTGGTGGTAGATTTAACTCTGATGCTGAGAGGGATCATGAGCCCCACACCTGACCATGGTGCCCAAGAACAGGGACCTCCTATCGTTCATGCCCCGTAGCCTGCGAAGTAACAGGCTTTTCTGTGGCACCGCCCTAGTGCTGAGTGTCCTCACACCCTGACTAAACTCAGAATGAATTAACACCCCAGATGAAATAGCAAATAGACTGGCATGCAAAGGAGGCAACGTGCTATGAAGCCTCTGCCCCCCTCCTGCTCCAACTACTCCTCCCAGAACGCAAGAGAACACGAACAACCCTACACACCTATGGATATTCCTTGGTTACCACCAACAAACAGTGGAAAAGGAGAGCCAGGAATTCTGGCCAGAGTGACACATGCAGGCCTCCCCCTTCTCTGACGGCAGGTTACCAAACAGGCAGGCTGGACACGTGGTTGGGGCACCAGCAGAACAGGAATACCTGCACGAGGTGTTTATTGAAAGGAGTTTAAAACAAAAATAACTAACCTAAACAGTCTTTGTGAGAAAAATCAGAACTTTGTCGAATTGGTTATACTTGTTTTACAGTGAAATGTTTAAAAGTTCTTTGGGGGAGAGAGAACTCTCCTTTCAGGGCTTAGAGCCTCTGATTGCAATCTTGCCTGCCAGGAGCAAGCCAAACTCCCTGGAAAGACACACTTCAGTCCCAGCCTCTAGTTCCATGGAGGAACAGAGACCCTGTAACACCAGGAGTGGGAGTGGGGGGCCAATGCTGGGGCCTTCCCCCAAAGCACCAAAAAAACATCATACCTCAGCTGAAAGAGAGGTCATAAACTCAAAGCCTGTGGGCTCTGTTTGGCCAGAAGATGCAGAAATGCATTTCTTTTGGTTCCCATGTTTTAAAATTTTTACATCAAAGTCCATTTTCTGATTTTTTTTTTCAACAGTGGAATAGCAGTACTGAATTTCAAATGCTGCTTGGCAAAAATTGTCTGAGCTGAGTGTGGGACATGCTCTCCCAGGTCTAGTCTGTTAGAGATGACACCACTCCCCTTGGACCCAGTTCCATGGCCGGCCTCCCTCAGGTGTGAAACCCTCCTGGCCCCTATGGGTAGGTACTTGGGTTTGGGACCCTTTAAAGCTTTGATCCCCCATTAAAATGCACAATGTGTAGCAAAAGAAACACATGAAGGCTTTGACAGTGTTATTTTCAGGTCACCACAGATGAAGGTCCTGATGGTTTTTCCTCAGGAAAGATCCAGAGAGAGCTTGGGAGCTGCAGGTTCTGAGTGGGGTGGATGGAAGCATTTGCTGTCACAGGAGGAAAAAAGACCATGCCTGGGACTGAAAGCAGACTATAACTGCAGGATTTCACAGTGGGGCGGTCTGTTAGTGGTGTGTCTGACTTGCTCGCCCTTCAGGACCGTGCCATGGCTCCTTTCTCTTCCGGCCCGGCCGCATCAAGCAATGAGTTTCCTTCTTCAGGAAATCGGTTTGCTAGGGCTAAGACAGTGTGAGTTTAATCGGCCAGGGCACCTGCCACAGAACACCCTGTCCGTGATGTTAAGAAAAGCCAAACCTATTGGCCCACCCTCCATGCTCCTAGGCCACTGAGCACTTCCCACACCATGCATTTCCCACCCAGGAGGAGAGTGCAAAGGGTCTGTGACAGTGCTCCTTCCCCCATGGGGGTGCTCCTGCCCAGAGTGAAGCCCACTGAGCATCACTGGCCATCCTGTCATTCCCTATGGCTATGTCCTGAGCTAAAATAGAAACCCCCTTTGAGGTTAACGTAGTCTTTCTTTTGTCTTTTGCATTTAAAAAAGCCAAATGGCTTGAGCATCTGCTCATTCTTTCTGACTTCCAAGTACATTCTTTACCATCCAAGTAGTAACCTTTGTTGATTTAAGCCACATAGAGCTCTATATGAGAAAGAGAAAACATGTTGGATCACATTCAAAACGGTCTCCTAGGTTGCAGAAAAATCATAAAGTACCCCCTTGGGAATTCCCATCACAGGGACAGGTCGTCAAGGCTCAGCACCTCCCAAAATTTCCAAAAGCAGGATGACAAATCAGGGAATGCCTGGGCCTGACTCTTACCACTAGGTGTCACACTACACAATCAGGAATAAAGACTACCAGGTCTTGAAGTCCATCAGGAATGTAAAGCAGTAAAAGGGGGTGTAAGAAAGCTATTGAGATACTTTTTATTTAGGCACAATTTTGTTCCTTAATGATCATTTTTTAATTTTCAGCTAAAAATCCTCTTCTAAGCTATATAAGTGGGGCATTTAGAGTTTAACATTCTTTTTTTTTTTTCCTTCAGAACTTGAATATTCCAGGTAGGGGAACATCAACCCTCTATTTTACATAACGATTGGAGTAGAAAATATTTTGAGAATCTTCTTCAAATTATAGTACATTCAGCCTCATTTCTACAATGAGTATTCAAAAGTGTAAATACTACAACTGCTTTGGCCCCATGATTAATATGTTGGGATAGAAATTAGATAAACTGCCATGGGGTGCCTAGGTAAATTTCTCTGCATTTCAGTTTCTTTGGGGGAAGACAGGAACGATACCTATCTTACAAGAGGAGTTCTGAGAACGAACAATGTATTGCAAGAAGTGTGGGAATCCTTCCAAAAACCTATACTGTGATATTTCCAAGAGACATAGTCACCCTTAAGCAGCTATATGTGTGTTTGTGGACAAGCAATACATTTTTTAAGCAGGAAAAAAACCTTAAATGACATTAAATCCAATCTTATAAAAGCAGGTAGACCACAGCAAAGTTAACTGATCTCTCCAATTAATATGCAATTAGAGGTGGAGCCCGAAGTGAGATCTCCTACTTATAGCTGCTATTCTATCCTGCCTCAATAATTGTATATTTTGTACATCATATGCCTACAGAGACAATGGAGTCTATCCTTGGGAAGTTTTCATTGTAACATGTGATCATTACTATCCTGAAGGTTTTATTTCTTGATTTTAGGGCTTTCCCCACCCCCATATTTTTTATCTCACTCCCCCCGACCCAGGTTCCCTCCATTTAGATAGCCGGAGGAGTGCAAGGAGAAGAGATGGCAAACGGTTGGTTGGTTGGTTGGTTGGTTAGTACATGGCCAGTCAAGGTAAAGATGATTGCAATATAATCACCAGAAATTTCTGCAAAACTATAGAGGCTCCCTGGGGCTCATCCTGAAAAACTCTGACCCAAGTTGCTATATTTTGCCTGGACCAGTTCTAGAAGTAGATGAATTCAATTAGATGCTTGCTGGCTAGGAGATGGGGGTGGCGTGGGAACATAAGTTCTATTTCTGCGGGTGAAACCAGAGGATGAGGAGTCTGGGGTGGCTATACATATTGCCTGGAGAGGTCCAGCTGAGGCCCTCCCGGGGCGGGAGAGCACGGAGCCAGCAAGGGGGTAATGTTAGGGCTGCCGGGGGCTTCCTGTAGCATGCTGAGCAACTACTTTCTTAGCCATCCTTAAGGCCCTATCTTGGGTAAGGCGCTGCTCAACCTATTCTTCAGCCTCTTCCAAATGCTTCTGCAAAGTCACCCAGCTGGGCACCCAGAAGTAAGCTGAGAATCCATTCTCTGCAGCAGCACGGTGCAAATCAGGGAACATGACCTCAATAATTATTTTGTTCATGCAGGGTAGCTAGCTACAACCTCTACTACAAAGATCAACACCTTGCTTTACTTGGGGGGAGAAAAAAAAAAAAGGTCATGTTCAGCATTTTCCCTGAATACAGGGCAGAGTGTTTGCCCCTCCTCCAGTCACCAGGGCTGTTTATCCCGAGGAAATGATTTGAGGGTTCTCCAAGCCTTAGGCTCTTAATGCCAAAGCATTCACAACTTCTCCCGGGGGGGGGGGTGTGTGGAGGGGCTGGCTACATGTCCCTGCGCTGCAGAGAGCCTCGTATTGGCAGGAAGGCAGAGGCTGCCTGCGATCTTCTAACCCGCAGTGCGTCCTTCCCCGCAGCGAGAAGTTTGGGCAATCAAATCCCGACGTCCAGCCATCATTTCCACTCCCGTTTTCAAAAGATCAAGAATCGGAAAGGACCGGCCGGTCGGCAAACCCCAAGGAGGAACTGCCCAGCAGGTCTGCGTTCATTGGGATCTCAACAGTCGACGACCCCAAATCGAATCGATCGTGGGAAACCCCAGGGAAAGAAGGCTTCTTGCAGAGGGACGGGATTACTGAGTGCAAGCTGCAGGGAAGTACCGGGGGAGGGGACCTTAGTCGGGAGGACTTTCCAGCCACTCAGCGTTCATCAAAAAGTTCCCTGTACATGACCCCAGTGGCTCATCGCAGGGAGTTTCTCTGATGAACCCGGCTCAGGGTTTAGGCTTCTCCCCCACCCTCCCACCCCCCTCCCTCCCGAGCAGAGGACGAGGCCAGTTCTCTTTTCTGGTCTGACTGGCTTGGAAATTCCCCGCGCCTGACCCCGCCCCGGAGAAATCCCCTGCCAGCGTTTATAGGGCGCCGCGGCGGCGCTGGCGAGCCCACAAGAGTCGCAGCCAGCGGTCCTCCCCTCCGTGACACTGCGAGGCAGCGAGCGCGCAGCCCGCGGCTCAGCGCACCTGGGCCGCAGCGCCAGAGCTTTCACCGCGCCATGTTTCAGCCCGCCGAGCACGGCCAGGACTGGGCCATGGACGGTCCCCGGGACGCGCTCAAGAAGGAGCGGCTGCTGGACGACCGCCACGACAGCGGCCTGGACTCCATGAAGGACGAGGACTACGAGCAGTTGGTGAAGGAGCTGCGGGAGATCCGCCTCGAGCCGCAGGAGGCGCCGCGCGGCGCCGAGCCCTGGAAGCAGCAGCTCACCGAGGACGGAGACTCGTAAGTGTCGCGGGGCCGGGTGGCCGGGGCTGGGTGGGGACGCCGGGCCTGCAGCGCGAGGCCCGCGAGGCGGCCGCAATCCGGGGTTTATGCACCGCCGCCCCCCTCCCTCCCAGGAGACCGTGCAAAGCGGAGGGCCGCGCGTAGGGGCGGGGGAATGAGGGTCGGACCCCGGGGCGGCGGTGCAGCAGCTCCGCCTTGCAGCCGCGCACGCCTTCCCCCCCGCCCCCCTCGGCAGGCCGGGTCCCGGTCCTCTCGGCGGGGGCGGGGCGGCGGCGGGGACGCGAAGTCCCGGCTTTGCAAAGGGGGGCGGGGGGAGCGGGAGTTTCTGCCCCGCTGGCGGGCGCCGCGCGGCGGGGAGGGGAAGTACAGGGCGTTCCGGCCCGGCGGGAGGGCGGGGCGGTCTGACCGGCGCCCGCCGAGGAGAGGGGGGGGGCCCGGAAAGTCCCTGGGCGCCTGCCAGGAACACTCAGCTCATAATAACCTCGCGGAAAACACCGCGGCCTCGGCCTCCAGAAACCCCGGCCTTGCGCAATCCCCCGCAGCCCGCGCCGCCCTGGGCCCCACGCAATGCACTCACCAGCCCTCGGGGTTTTTCCCTCTCTTCCCCTTAGGTTCCTGCACTTGGCCATCATCCATGAAGAGAAGGCACTGACCATGGAAGTGATCCGCCAAGTGAAGGGCGACCTGGCCTTCCTCAACTTCCAGAACAACCTGCAGCAGGTGCGCCGGCATGCCCAGCCCCGGGCCTCTGACCCAGTGATGAAGTTGTATCTAGCACAGTTGCTCCCAGTCCTTTGTAAATTAATGATCACTGGTCGTTATCTACCCTGACCTTTTACATTGGAATCAGCCAAAGTCCTAGAGAGGAAAGAAAATTCCATTGATTTGGTGAGGCCTTTCTGAAAGCCCACCTGGGGCCTCCGGGATTTGTCTTGCCCCTTATATCTGTCTGGGAGGAGGAGCACCCACGACCAGGAGATCTCTGGGGTTCAGGGGGAGACAGACTCTGAGTTTGGGCCATGGCTTACCCTCTTTCTGTTCCCTCTTCTGTTTGCAGACTCCACTCCACTTGGCTGTGATCACCAACCAACCAGAAATTGCTGAGGCACTTCTGGAAGCTGGCTGTGATCCTGAGCTCCGAGACTTTCGAGGAAATACCCCCCTACACCTTGCCTGTGAGCAAGGCTGCCTGGCTAGTGTGGGAGTCCTGACTCAGACCTGCAGGACCCAGCACCTCTACTCCATCCTCCAGGCCACCAACTACAATGGTAGGTCTGCCTGCCCTACCCTGCCCATCAGAAGGCAGGTGACATGGAGAAGGGAGAGGTGGGCCAACTTTAGGAGTCCGGGCAAGGGCGGAAACTCTCAACACTTGAAAGAATGAGAAAATATACATGCAAAAGGCCTATTTGATGCCTTAATAAAGTTCATTCAGAGCCCAGATTGTGGGTTCTCCAAATTCAGAAGCATTTGTTCCCTAAAGAATAGGTGGAAAGTTCTGCTTGAGATCTGAGGGTTGAAACAAGTGGTTATACTTTCTTCATTGTTCTTGTAGGTCACACGTGTTTACACTTAGCTTCTATCCATGGCTATTTGGGCATCGTGGAGCTTTTGGTGTCTTTGGGTGCTGATGTCAATGCTCAGGTGAGTGCTTCATGTCTCCAGATGGAATGCATCAGGGCTGCAAGGCCCTCCTCAATAAGACTTCACGTGCTCTTGTTACAAGCAGAAATTCCAAACTCAGCCATAAACATCTCAAATTCCTTTTGGTTTCAGGAGCCCTGTAATGGCCGAACCGCCCTCCATCTTGCAGTGGACCTGCAGAATTCTGATCTCGTGTCACTCTTGTTGAAGTGTGGGGCTGATGTCAACAGAGTGACCTACCAGGGCTACTCCCCATACCAGCTCACCTGGGGCCGCCCAAGCACGCGGATACAGCAGCAGCTGGGCCAGCTGACCCTCGAAAACCTTCAGATGCTGCCAGAGAGCGAGGATGAGGAGAGCTACGACACGGAGTCAGAGTTCACAGAGGACGAGGTAAGTCTCAGCTTCGTCACTCTGCACAAAGCAATACCCTCCCAGGCCCCTAGAGCGACTCTTTATCCAAAGGGCTCAACGTAATGAAATTCTCACACTTTAGTGTGTGTGACCAGTAGTACCCCAAAAGTGTGTCTTCATTTTTTGCCCTTTTTAAAGGAGAGAACTAAAGAAAAACTCCCTCAGCCCCTGAAGTTAATTTATATTTGGGTTATGGAGAATGGAATGCAAGAATACTTGAGTTATTTCCAGGAACAGCCCTCACCATTATCCCAGCACCTTTGGCAAAGCTCTGGAAGTTTAATGTGCCTTTTCTTTCTCTTGTTTTTAGCTGCCCTATGATGACTGTGTGCTTGGAGGCCAGCGCCTGACGTTATGAGCTTCGAAAAGTATCTAAAAGAACATGGACTTGTATATTTGTACAAAAAGAGAGTTTTATTTTTCTAAAAAAAAAGAAAAAAAGAAAAAAATCAAAAGGGGGTACTTAAGACCACACTTCACACTGCCTGGCCCGAAACATTTACTATGGTGGATCAGCCCTCATTTTGTTATTTTTGTGAACTTTGGAAGGGGGACAAGAAAGATCATTGGAATTCAAAGAAAACATTTTTCAAACCTCGTCTTTGTGGGGTTTTTGGAGGAGGTTATGCAAAATGTGACAAAAGGACAACATTTTATTGTGCTTTTTGATTGAATCACCATAGATTCCGTGGCTGAGCCTGGTGTGGGATGTGTAACGACCAGGTGTGTCGTTAAACCTTTCAGGCAGGGATGTGGGGTTAAAAGTCACTATCTGTCAAGGTTTGTGTTATCCTCCTGTAAATGGTGTACATTGTGTATTTTGTTGGTAATTATTTTGGTACTTCTAAGATGTGTATTTATTAAACAGATTTTTACAAACCGAATTCTCCTGATCGTTCTCTTTGGGCTGCCGAGGGGCTCCCAATCTGAGAGTCTCTGGGGGAGGTGGAGAGCTGTGTGGGAGCACTTACCACAGCCAGCCACAAAACCCTCTCAGAGAGCAGCTTCTCACACTGTGTACACCAGACTCCCTGCGAGGCTTTGCAGGCAGCCCCAGGGCCCTGTGTGTGGGAGGGGAAGGCTGTTGCAAGATGATAGGAAACACCATTCTTAGGCCTGGGGTGGGGGTGGCAGTGAGCTGCTTGGCCTACAGCTGGAAGCCTCCATTGCCATTTGCTTTCATCTTGGTTTAAGCTATGCTAGGACCCCTCCACTTGACCATTTTGGTCAAGACAAATCTGCTGAAGTCATATTTTGTATTACTGGGAAAGTTCTTAACTATAATGCTGGAAGTTCCTAAGGCATGGGCTCAGGATTGGGACTGCATGCACTAACATTTATTAGCAGGTACCCACCTCTGAGGCTTCTTTTCTTCATGTATAAACTGGGCTGTTAAGATTGCACAAGACAACGCGCGCCTAAAGCATAGCAGAGTGCCAGGCACATGGTGCTAGAGAGAAATGCAAGCTATTGCACAACATCCTGTATTTCATAGGGGAAGAAACAAGTCCAGAAAGAATGTCCTGTCCGGGGTCACCTTGCAGGAGAGGCAGGTAGTTAAATTCCAACTCTCGTTTCCAGAGTTGGTTAACATCTTTTAACTGCATTCCACCTCTAAATCAACCTATTGTTACGAAGTAGCGTGAATGATACTAAAAGCTTGAAAAGTCTTTTCCCCAGCTCAGTGTGCTAATTCTACTGAATAATTCTACAAGAAGTCAAGAACTTGTGAAATTTAAGTGCTCCATATGGATGTTTTCATCCCTAAAATACATTTCTTGCCAAGGTTAGAAAGAGGAGTAAAGGAAAGTTCATGGCATTCTATAAAATACAGAATGACATATAAATGCAATCCCTGTACTTTGGCTTACACCTAAGAAAATCTTGCCATTACATTATCCCTTTCCGGATCCATAAATGCGGTCAAAGTCAAGTAAATATGATCACCTTCCTCTCAAACCAAAAAGGAGCCAATACTTAGGGGGTCTTCTAATATATGAAGTGTATTACTGTCAATTGGACTGACCTGTCAAAGCCAGCCCTGTCGCCGTCCTGCAGCCTCAATCATCTAGAGCTGAGCACAGTGGTGGCCCCTCTACCAGTCTTCTCTTCCCTCAGAGAGCTCCCGGCGCATCACAGAAATTCCTTGTGCATCCCAGAGCACATGAACTCAGGTGCTATGTGATCTCACACAGGAATGTCGACTAGGTTCAGCTCTGTCCGCTGCTGAGTAGAAGAGGTAGGTAACGGGTGGTGGGGAATATTCACCTCATATCCAAAAGAACACAGGTTGGAAACTTGGCTTCCAAATTTGGAATGATGCCCTCAGTATTTCTTAGTCACACGTGCCTCTTCCCCCCCCCCCCCGTAATGGTACTGAATTTGTGCCAAGTTGCTCATCGCCTTTACTCCAGCTCTGTGAGAAGGTTGGAGAAATGGGACAAAGGGATGTGGCCCACTATTCCTCAGCCTCCTTCATGACTGACTTTTGTGTAGAGGTGAACCTTCCATGGTCATGGCAGGGAGGGGCCTCTTCTGACGCATTTGGGCCTAGTCTCCCACATTTCTAGGGTCAAGGTGGATTCCATTGTCTGCATAAATCTCAAGGTCACTGGGCCCAGTTTCTTCCTCTCAAATCCTTCTTCCTGTTCCTCTACCTCCTTTCTTTCTCTTCTCTTTATTTGAAACCTACTTTCTATCCTTTATGCCATTGGTTGGGTGGCTGGAGCCTGGAGTTCCCTAAAAGAAAAGTTTTAGAACAGAAACATTCTAATCTACAGAGTCTTCAGCATATTTCTAAGCAAACAAGAACAAAAGTTTTCAAAGAAAACAGTGTGGCAGCCTGAGAGCCTTTTCGGCACTCTGATTCTCTCCAAGAAGCCAAAGGTCCTGTCAGGACAGGTAGAAGTAAGGGAGCCTTGGGAAAGAGGGAAGTGACAGAAGGAGGGAAATAAAGAATCACATCAGCAACTTCCTTGAATTTAGTTCCTTGATTCCTTCTGCCTGCCTCATCCTCAGGACAAATTTCCTTTATAGGTCACATGTACCCAGTCCCTCCCAGAAGGAGGGGTTTTTCTTTAAAGAGGGAATAAGTTCCAGTGTGAGCAATTGGAAGGCCTTCATGTGGGGCATGGACTTGCAGGAGGCTAGGTGCCGGCG